CCCCCCCCGCGCCCCGCCGCACCCCCGGCACGGCCGCCCGCGGCTCCGAGCCCGCCGAGCCCCCCGCGGCCACCGCCTGCGCACCGGAGGCAGGTGAGGCCCGAGCGCGGGGAGCGGGGCGGGGGGAGCGGGGGCACGGCCGGAGTCGCTTCCCCGGGGCCGGAGCCGCTGCGGGGCCACCGGCGGGACCGGCCGCCACCGGGACGGGCTGCGAGGACCGGGTACGGGCGAGCCCTCGGTGTGGCGGGGTCCCTCCGCCCGGCCGGGGTCAGAGCCCCCGTCCCGGGGCTCGGTGCCGAGCGGGCGGCAGGTCAGAATTTACCCGTTTGTGTGGAATTTCTTCCCCCTGAAACACGGAACATGCCGGTGCCGGTAACGGCGAGGTAAGGAGGAGCTCGGCACACGGGGAGGGAGAGCGGGGAAACCTCCCGCTATCTCGGGGTGCTCGGCCGCTGCCTGCTCCGGTTAGGCGGTGACCGGGACCCTCCCTCCATCACGGTTTGAGCGCGGTCGGGAGCCTCCTGCCATCCTTTTTGGGGTTTGGGGTGGCTGGGACCGGCCCGCCATCCCGGTTTGGGGTTTGGGGTGGCTGGGACCCGCCCGCCATCCCGGTTTGGGGTTTGGGGTGCCTGGGACCCTCCCGCCATCCCGGTTTGGGGTGGCTGCTAGCCGGGTGCGTTGCAGCTGGGGCAGGAGATAAGCGGGATCTCCTACGGCTCCGGTGGGTGCTGGGACACCGGCGCTGCCCCGGGACAGCGGCGGGCACGCGGGCCACTCTCTAACGGGGGGTTCAGCCCCCCAGGACACTCCTCCGGGAGCTGCTGCCCTGTCGGCACCCCCGCGGGCTGTGGTGAGACCCCCATCGCTCCCCGGGCAGCCCTGGGAGCCGCTCCCACCCCGCGGTTCGGTTGGATCAGGGCCGGGAGGAGGCTGTGCTCGGGGTTCCCTTCACACCTGGGTGCACTGGAGGGATGGAGATTATCCCACAGAGCAGGGGTGCCGCAGGTGACACTGCTGGGTGACACTGCCCCACTCCAGGGCACTGCCGGGGAGCTGAGGAAAGGGACAGCCAGCGCTGGGGCAGCCAAGGGACACAATGCCAGCTGTAAATACTTGGGAGATGAACACCGGGGAGGAGCTGCTGAAACCGAGGGATGGCATTGGCAGAGTCCCGGGAACCCCACAGCGCAGAGGAGGCTCTGCCACTGCGACAGTGGGGCCAGAAGGGCTGATTTTGGGTCAGCTGCTGTCAGAAGGGTCTCGTCCTGCCTGGATTTTCCGTGCTTTGCTGAAGGCAGGGCTAAGGAGGCAGCTGGGATGAAGGGGAGGCGGCACCTTTGGGCTCCTCGGTTCCACCTCTCAGCAGCCTCGTTTGCTCCTCCCGGGCAGGAACCGGCAGAGCCCTGAGCACCGGCTACTGCCGCCTGTGCCACGGCAAGTTCTCCTCGCGGAGCCTGCGCAATGCCTTCGGGAAGGTGCCCGTGCTGGGGGAGAACTCGGAGAAGCAGCGGCGCCTGGACCAGGTGTTCTTCGCCGACTTCCAGCGGCTGGTGGGCGTGGCGGTGCGGCAGGACCCCGCGCTGCCACAGTTCGTCTGCAAGAAATGCCATGCCCAGTTCTACAAGTGCCGCAGCGTCCTCCGCACCTTCATCCAGAGGGTGAACGCCTCGCCCACGGGCCACGCCAAGTCCAAAGGAAAGTACGTGGCCTTCCTCGCCTCCGGGGAGCAGCGCCGTGCTGTGCTGCCCCGTGCTCCCCCGTGGTCCCTCCATGACCCCCAAATCCCACTGTGCCCCTCTGGTTTTTGCAGGAGCAGCGGGGTCCAGGCGCAGCCGGGTATGGAAGGAGGTGCCTCCTGCCTGGGTGAGTGCCCACTCCCCTTTTCCTTCTGCCCCGCCACCAGTGAAGGGCTGGGATGATGGGTGGTGAGAAATGACCACGTCTGGGGAGGTTCTGGTTCCTTTGGCACAGCTGGTTCTGGTTCTCCTTCCTCCCTCTGGCTTCCCAGGAGAATTTTCACCTTCCTGAGCTGGGCCAAACGGGCAGAGGCTCACCTGGGGGTGGGAAGAGCAGGCAGAGCAGATTTGGGTGGCAGTGCCAGGCCTGTCGCAGATGATGTTGGACACTTGGGACAATTGGAAGTACCCTTTCACTGAATGACAGAGGGAGGTGATGCAGCCACTGTGCCTGGAGGTGTTTAGGGAAAGACTGGACGTGGCAGTCAGTGCTCAGGTGTGGCTGACAGGGACATGGGTTGGCCTCGGTGATCTCAGAGGTCGTTTCCCTCCTCAGTGGTTCTGTCACCCTGGCAGGCGCTGGCACTGCCCTGCTGCAGCCCTCTGGGGTGGCTCCCACCTGCCTTGTGGGGCAGCCCTGGGGGGAGCAGATGCACATCCCTGTCCCCTCCGTGTGTCCCTGGTGCCCAGGCTGACCGTGCTGCCTCTCCCCCGGGCAGTTGACCTGATCACGTCGAGCCCGCAGTGCCTGCACAGCCTGGTGGCGTGGACGCACGCGCACGCCGGCGGCTGCGCCTCGGTGCCCGCGCTGCGCAGCGTGCTCTCCTCCGAGTACTGCGGCATCATCCGCGCCGTCTGGGGCTGCGGGGACGGCCACGACTACGTCATGGACACGGACTCGGACTGCAGCTCCGTGCTGCTCGACAACGCCTTGGCCGTCAAGCGGGAGTGGAGCAAGGGCTCGGCGCAGCAGCGCTTGACTGACAACGGGGCCGGGGCGGACAATGCCGAGGCTGTTCCTGCTCCCAAAGCCCAGCATGCTCCAGTAAGGACAGCTCCTTGCCAGCAGCCCGCCAACAAAGGGACCACGGCAGTGCCGCTGAGTGTGGAGCACGAGCCGCCGCAGGACAGGGATCCGTCTCCCTCGCAGCTGGACAGCGCGGCCTCCGTCCGGGAGCAGGCCCTGCCGCAGCCCGTCTCCCCTCTGAGCGCTGCCACAGGTAAGGGATTTGCTTCCTGATCTCTGGCCCGGCCTCAGGGGAAGGACGGGGAGCTGGAGAGGTGGCCCAGGGAGCGACAAGGGGCTGGGCCCTCTCCTTGGAGACTGTTGTTCCTCAGGGAGGGTGCAGATCCTTCTGGGAAGTGCTCAGAGATTGGCGTCTGACTGGGGAGGAGGATGCTGAGCCGTGCAGAAGGGACAGGGGAACACGGGGTCATGCTCCTGGTTCTGTGTGCTGTTCCTGTTCTGATAGAGGGGAGACCCTGCTGCCAGGCTCTTCCTGGGGATATGGAGTGGTCACTGGTTCCTCAGCACCATGTCTGCCAGATGTTTCTTTCGGCTCGACCCTGGAGCTGGGTTTCCCTGCTGCACAGCAGCTGGTGCTGAATCCCAGGAAGCCCTTCTGCCACTAAAGGAAAACTGCTGAGTGGGTTTGGGCTGGGTGCACTGCCCCAAACACCACTTCCAGAAGCGAGGAATTAACACGCATTTTGAGTTGCAGAAGCGGGGCTGTGTTTAGCTGCAGCACCTACAGGAGATGTCTGCTGCTGGACACAAGAAAGGCAGCTGGGACTTGCCTGGGGACAATTCTTTCAGTTACAGGTGTCACAGGAGGAACTCAAAGCTGCTCCTGGGGGCTGCAGGGTCAGGGTGGAGCACAGGGAGAGCCGTTTCTGGGCAGAGGGGACAGTTTGGTTCAAACAATCACTGATGGCCATGGAGCTCGTGTTCCCCACGGTGTGACCGTGCCAGTGCAGCCGGAGCAGTCGGCTCCTCCTCGGCCGCCGTGGGTTTTCCTTGTAACGCACCGTGTTCTCCTTCATTCCCTAGGACAGTTGAGTGGGAAGCAGGTTCTGTCTGCAACGTCGGATGAGCGGGTAAAAGACGAGTTCAGTGACCTTTCTGAGGGGTGAGAGAAGAGTGGGTTTAAATTAGCCTAAATGTCTTCTTTGCCAGTGGGAACTCCCCAGCCCGGGGAGCTCTTTCTCCACCAGCGCCGGGGGCTCGGAGCGGTGGCTCTGCTGCAGCTGTCACAGAGCTCATGGCACAGGGGCTCTGAGCTCCCTCCTCTGCTCTGGGGGGTTTGCACACACGTGTGCTGCGTGTTTGTGGGCTGCTCCCAGCAATCCTGGCCCTGCTTTGTCCCCTCTCTGCTGGGGAAGGAGCCGTGCCGGGAGCTGCTGCTCCGGCCCCAGGGGGTGCTGCGGGAGAGCAGTGGGAGTGGGAATGCAGGCACGGGGTGGCACGTGGAGAAACCACCCTGTTTGCTCCTGGGGAGAGCCTTTAACTGGGAAACGGGAGAGGGAGGGACCTGGCAGCTCTGCAGTCTGTTGTGGGCAAGGATGTGGCTCAGTCCAACACGGGTTTGGAATGGGGCTGTAAATACACCAGTCCAGGCACTGCGAGTCTAAAGGGCCAAGTGCAGAGTGACTCCAGTGTCAGCTGGGCCTGTCAGCTGTCACATTCAAAGGGCTGCAACGATTTATTGCCTATTTCCTGTCTTCAGGAATTAATTGCTTCTTGTATGGCTCAAGGCCTAAAAGGAGGAAAAAAATGTCCAAATGTGGCTGTTATATTTGAGGGAACACAGAATGACCCGCAGCTTCATTAACCTGTGCCAGACAATTATGTGACATTCTTGCTCCACAAAATTCCTTTTCCTAGTAGAGGACGCAGCAGCCACATCCCTCACCCATGAATAGATCCTTTCAGTAACAGCCATTTTTTTGTTCTCCTGACAGTGGTTTGATTATTCTTGCAGAGATTTAGCCCTAAAAGGACCTGGTTTGGGTCCTTGCTGTGTTCACCGGCGCTGTGTTTGCCTGGGGAGAGGATGGGGAGGAGAGCACGTGCCGTGGGGGAGATGGATGTGCTGGGAATGGGGAACTGCTGGTGCTGAGGGTCAGCCCGAGGTCACGT